AAAAAAAAAAAAAAAAATAACGCCCTTATTGCGGAGAAGCAAAATCAGGTACTGAGTGCCATACTGCGTCGTTTGGAAGATGAGGATGAGCTTATAAGAGCGTCTTACAAGAAACCCAAGGACGAGGCGTTTGAAGAAATGAAGAAACAAGCGGCGGCCGTTCAGCAAATCAACGCGGAACTTCAAAAGGCTCGAGAGGTTTTGTGTCTGTTGAAGTCCAAAATGTACAAGGAGTGTTGCACATCGCTCTTTCCAATTGAGTTGCCTGGACCCTCCCCGAAGAAGGGCTAACCGACCGAATTGGATGGGTTTGGTACCGTTTCTGGCCTCCTCAACCCCCTCATTTTGGTTATTGTTATTACTATTATTGTTATTTCTTATTGCACTATTCATTATCGAAACGGCATAGATGTTGCCGACTATCCAATATCAAACGAACATTCTGCGCACAGATCTGCTTTCTTTCTGTGAGCTTAAGGGAGATGTGCCATGGGGCTGCGAAATGTAAGCACCGCTCACAACAAGGGTATGATTTCTTTTGTCCTTCTGCCCCCCCCCCCTCATCTTTCTCTCTCTCTATGTATATATAGATATATCGTTTGAAGCGATCGGCACGACGTATTTTCTATGGTTGAAAAACGGGTGGTTGAGCCGACCGGATCAGGTGCTCTGGCGCTGTTTTTTGGCCAGCCCCTCTTCGACATGACTGCGAACGCTTCGGAAGAACTGCTGGCACAGTACGGCATTCGTGACGGTAGCGTTGGACCTGCCACACCAGAGCAGCTTCCTATATTTGAGCAATTGCTGAATGAAGAAGATACCACTTACTACGGTGGTGGGTCCGCCATGAATGCAGGCCGCACAATGAAATGGGTATCACCTGAAACAGACGTCTGTTGTGTAGGTTCAGTGGGCTGCGATGAGTTCTGCGAGGTGTTTACACGCACGATGGATGAGGCTGGGGTGCACTACCTGCTTGAATACCACGAAGACTCCCCAACAGGAACATGCGTTGCCCTGATAGTGAACAAGGAGCGCGCCATGCGAGCCAATCTTGGCGCTGCTAACAAAATAACACTTGAATATATGAAGAGTGCCCCAATCCAGCGAGCTATCAAGAAGGCCATGCTTTTCTACACTGAAGGCTTCTTCCTGAATACAGTTTCCAGTCCTGAGAATGTTTTGCTGCTGGCTGAGCACGCACATAAAGAGGGAAAGCTGTTCTGTTTCAACCTAAATGCTCCATTTGTGAGCCTACTCTTCGGTGAACGACTTAAAGTTCTCCTCCCGTTCATCGATATTCTATTTGGAGGCAGGGAGGACTTTACTGCGTTCGGGACGATGATGTGGGGCGATGAGGTCGGGAGTGACATTGATGCCGTTTTGATGCGCACAGTAGGGCTGCCCAAAAATAATTCCTCGCGCTCCCGTTTAGTGGTGGCCACATGTGGTGCGGACCCAACATTGGTGGCAATGAAGCACCGGGTCACGGCGTACGAAGTGCCGGAGGTGGACAAGGCGCAAATTGTCGACCTGACCGGCGCCGGTGACTGCTTCGTCGGTGGTTTTCTCGCACAGTACCTCAGCTGCCCGGACATTCAGTTATGCGTGGAGGCGGGCCACGCGGCTGCAGCCGTCGTCATTCGTCACTGGGGGACGCGGCTCAGCGGTGATCCGCCACAGTTGAAGACACGCAACGGGGAATTCGTTTGTTAACACACACACACACATTTATATATCTATATCTATATATATATACATATTAAAATACATCCTGTGCATTTTTCTCCAACTGAAATTTTTTTTTTGTTTCGTTTAGCGAAATTCCATGTTTGCGTGTATGTGAATTTCTTGTGCGGGGGAGTTGATGATTGAAAACAGTATTTATGATAAGGAGGCTTTAGGCACAAAGAAAAATAAAACAACGATATTTTTCTTTTTTTTTCTTTTACGTATTCTTCTTTCTACTACGTACATAGTTTCCCCTATTCTCAACTGTCTGTTTTTTTTATTGGAGAGTCAGCAGTTGGGGAAACAATACGAACAGAAACATGCTCCTTTAATACTCTTTGCTTAGCTGTGGAACTGTTGCCTTTATCAATGCTATTTGCAATGTACTGAGATTCAATGGTGTTGACCAGAAAGTTGTGTGTTGCGTGTTTTTCTGGAAGGGGGTTACGGGAAGGGCGCTTGTGGCTGGGGTGATTATCCGCACGAGGTCCATGATGGGGCGAATACAATTATGTATACACACACATATATATATATATGTATGGGTGTTGTAACCAAATCAACATGCGAAAAACCAAGATACTCTTCTGTAGTTATCAGTGCGCGTCTTTTTGTCACTTCAGGGGTTGACAGGCGTGTAGGAGAAGTGGCTGTCAGACTGCTTGGTTGGACGAGCAGGTCCTGCTGCGGTGATGTCTGCTGCTGGTGCAAGAGGGGTTCTTCTCCGACATAATCCGTATCGTTCTGAGGTCCTGTCATGGTACCGCAGGTTCCTCAAGGTCGCGTTCACCGTGCCGTGGGAGACGGACGAGGACGCGCTGTACGTGATGGAGGAGGCAAGGCGACTTTTCCGGCAGAACGCCAACATCACTGACGTGGAATCAATTAGGCGCAAGCTACGTGAGGCGGAGATGCGGTATGAGATCGGCGTGCACTACCGGATCCCGTACCCGAGACCGTTTCACAAGACGCAGGGATCACTGCAGGAGAGTGGCGTGGCCTACGCCGCTGACCTTGACTCCATGTATGACCACCCCGTGAACATGAGAGTCGGGCGCATCTCGGAGGGTAGCACAAACTTCGGCACGATGGGTGGCGTAGAAAACTCAACCCACTTCTTGGAGGACGGACCCGGTGTTGACGACGAGATTCTCACCGAGAGGAGGTGATACGAAGGATTGAGTTTGCCTTTTTTGTTTGTGGGCTGTTGCTGTTGCTGAGAGCTGCAGCGAGTCTCTATTTCAGTCAGAGAGTTCTCATGGAGTTGAATCCTTAAAGCTTTCTTTGGACCGCTGCTACACCCTTTCGTGCGCATCATAACAATGGAAGACATTTTCTTTTCGTTTTGTTTTCTGGCTGATTATTTACTCGCAACTAATACTTTGCATTTATATATATAAACTGAAGAAAGAATGAGCCAGGGACCCCTTGAGCGGCTGGGATGGGTTCTGTGGTGTGTCGTGAGCCTCTTGTGGGAAGTTGTTGCTGGCGTATTTGGTATCCCACTCAGGTCTCCCATGCAATCGGCACTGAAGAAGAAGGCAAAGGCGGCCACGACGTACAGCGAATGGGTGGCTATCGCACGCCAACTGGATGACTTGGAGGGGTTTCAATCGTGGCGTTTGGAGGAGGAGCCGCGGTACATGAACTCTGAGGGACTTGTTGGTCACATTCAGCTTCTAATTGATGCAAAGAAGAAAGGGGACACGGAGACACTGCTGAGTGTTCTTTCGACTGGCCTTCATCGTTCTGCATATGGCATATTAAATCCAAATCTTTATGTGTATCGCTCAGGTACGAAAGCGGTCATTGAGACGTACAACTCGCTTCTGGTCTATCTGATCCGCAGTCTCGCACGAGACACCTCAGTGACGGCATACACGAGATACGCCACGTTGTTGGAATTGTCACGTGTGTGCAGCAACACAGCCCTTGTTTTTAACGGAGGTATGGTGCTTGGACCGTTTCACGTTGGCGTAGCGAAGGCGCTATGGAAGGCCAACTTACTGCCTAGGATATTCTACGGTGGACGTACCGGTTCTGTCGTGGCAGCACTCCTTTGCTGTAAGAAGGATCTGTCTGAAGTATTTGAAGTGGATAACCTTAATTATCCGGCATTTAGTGGCAAGGATGTAGGTGCACTTCAAAGACGGTCAGTCCGTTTCTGGATGGAGGGTCACCTTATGGACATTGCTGTTCTAGCACAGTTTATTAAGGATAATGTTGGGGATTTGACCTTTCTTGAAGCGTATAACCTCACTGGGCGTGTACTCAACATTGAATTTACGCCGGACACGGACGATGCGAACTGCACTGCTGCCCCTCCAGTGCGACTGCTTAACTACCTTACAGCACCCAATGTTCTTGTGTACAGTGCGGCGGCGGCATCTTTTGCCTCCTCTCCGCTTTTCTTTGGGCGCTACCCATTGATGGCGAAGGACCTGGCTGGTCGCATCGTGCGGTACGATCCACCGGTGATGGGGGCCGTTGGAAGACGGGCGGATGGAAAAATTGATGGGCTGAAGCGGCTGCGTGAGTTATTCCACATCAAATGCTTTATCGTCTCGGAGTGCTCCGCTACCCGGCTACCGTTTTTGCGGCTTTCCGGTCGTACTTCTCTCCTTGCACGCCTGGGGCACGCCATTTCAGAAGAGTGGTGGCGCTTTGTTTCCTTCATTATATCATTTACACCGCTTAAGAAGTATATTTGGGTGCTCTTTTCTAATGATGATTCTGACGCGGATGATGTGATAAAACTGTTTCCGGCCTCTAGTTGGACTGATATTGCCGGGGTTTTCAATCTTCCGACAATGCGGCAGATCCATGAGTGTGTGCTGCGCGGTGAAAGACAAGTATGGCCCAGCCTCAAGCGGATCCAGGAACATGTGGCACCTGAATTAGCGTTGAATGATGCTTTGAGTGAGCTTAGTCGTGCGGATCCGAAGATCAGCTGGGAGAACGATAATCCTTACTCATGGTAAAAAGGAAACAAAAAAAAGAAACCGAGAAGAAAAAGACAACATGCGTAAGTGAGGCTTTATTTATGTGCTGCTGTGTAGTTGTTGTTTTTTCCGTTCCTTCTTGTTTCTTTGCGAGCGAAAGTAAGCCGCTTGAGGAGTTAGGCGTATACATTTGTTGGTGCGAGCATCGTGGGTGTGTGTGCGCGCCATAATCCCTTTGCCCGTTTTCCCCATGGCTCATCTTTCTTTTTTTTTTTTCTCTCTGCTTTTTCCCGTTCCCCGCCGGTTGGGTGCACACTTGGTGCGCAGTGGGCGCAGCGTTTCTCTGCAGAGTGCGCAGTGCAAAATGCCAACCGTGACCGAGATTCAGCCGCGCACGTCGGGGTCGACGCGGTACATCGTGTGCGACGTCCAGGGCCGGCAGTGCCTCGCCCCGGAGTCGCAGCCAACCAATCTGAGCTTTACATTTCTTGTCAAGCTGGATCCGAAGAGCGGGCAGGAGTTTTACGTCAGCGTAAAGACTAAAGCGAAGTCGTGGGACCTCCCTGACGTCGATGCGGCGGGCGCGGTGACACCTCAGAAAGGTGACAGCGAGATCATCTCACACGCCGCCACACTGGAATGCGCAGGTACAGTCTACGAGCTACTGCAGTCCGACGGCGGTGCACAGTACGTGCCTCAGGGACTGCCGTTTGAGCCCGCGCCAGTTCACTGCTGGCGCCCATTTTATGACGCCGCGAAGAAACGCTTCTTGTACGAAAACTGCGCGACCAACGAACGGGTACCGAGACTTCCGCCCATCCTGGACTACTGCGATGCTGTACGGCAGCTATACGACCGTCACGGGATCGAAGGTGACTACGTTGACGCCCTGCGTTGCCGCTTCGGCGATGAAAGACGCCTGATCGAGGAGCTCTCCATTCAGTACGGTCCTAAGCCTATCCCAAACCGAGAAGCCTTTGAGGTGGCAGAGTGTTACTTCAATAAGTATGACACGTCAATGTTGAAGGAAATGGGAAACCTTTTAGAGCAGTGGCGCGGTAACGAAATTGAATTCCTTGAAGCACTGCAGAAAGAGTACGGTAAGCGCCCACGGACTACACGCGAGCGCGTCCGTGCCATTTACGCACAGTACAACCCGGCCAAGATGTTCCAATGCGATGAACAGGTTGATCAGTACAAGGGACAAGATGATGAGCTCCTCACTGCTCTGCAGAGAAAGTTTGGACCAGAGATGATCAAAGAAGACGATCTACTCGAGGATATTGCGCATCGTGTGCGCTGCCAGTTTCTTAGGTACGATGCCGACCGGGTTGCCACAGTGGAGGATGTGCTGGCGAAGCACAAGGGTGCTGAAGTGCAGCTTCTTGAGCTTCTTATCTGCCACTACGGCCCCGAGGTGGACGTGGAGGAGAGGGAAAAACAACTCAAAGCCCCTGAGCCCGCTGTTGGTGGTGCCACAAATGAAGAGTCGAATAAAAACATTATACAAGGGGATGTCGACGCGTCGACACTGGTAGCGCTAGTGGCTACAGAGACAGTGGCACAGAGCGATACTCGAATCCGCAACACCAAGGAGGATCACCAAGACGTGCGTGATGGGGAATCTTCGAAGAACGGCACAGTCCCACCTGAACTCGCTGCGGAGGAGCATGAACCGGCAGTACCTGTTACACCCCCAATGGAACAAGTTTCTAACGCAAGTAACGCCTCAGGGGAATTATCGGCTGTGGCTGCGGCCAACAAAATACCCGAAACAACGACAGATGGCGACGATGTTTCTGAGAAGCCCGTTTCTACTTCTACCTTCCCTCAGGAGACGGTAGTAGCAACAGCAACAACAACAGCAGCAGCAGCAGCAGCAACCGAAGTAGTAGTAGTTGTACCAGCAGTATCAGCACCAGTCTCTGAGTCACAGACGAAAACTTCTCCCTCGCTGCCGTCCCAACCACCCAGTGTGGAGGTTGAGTGGCCCAGTCGTGCGGAGTTGTTGGAGACGGAGCGGAAGCTGCGTGAGGAGGAGTTCCAGCGGCAGCAAGAGCGAATTGCACTCGAGGAGGAAAGGCTGGCGCGGGAGCTCACGGCACACCGACGATTTGTTGCACTAGAAACTGAAAGACATTGGAAGGAGGAATCGGAGAAGGTCGTGGAGATTGCGCGGGTTGCTGCACAACAAGCAGTACAGGAGGCTGCACGTCTGCAGCGGCTTCGCGACGAGGAGAACGAAGATAAGGAACGTCTTGGGGATGTCGTGCGCCAAGAGGCCGAACGCCACGCCATCGGAGCTGTAAACAGTGCCAGTGCGGCTCTCGTGGCTCAGTTTGCCCATATGAAGACACAACTGGGGGACGCCTTTACCACAGTAGAGGGGTACGCGCAGCGAAACGAAAAGCTTCAGTCAGATAAAACGCGATTGTTAAACAAGTTCGCCGAGATGCAACACCAGTACGACTTGGAGCTCCAGGGAATGCGGATACACCTTGACGACATGCGCGTGCGCATCGCAACCATGAAGAATGAGCACGATGTCAAAACACTCCACCTTAAAAAACAAGAGGAGATTACGATCTTGGGCATGTCCCGTGAGCTGGAGCGCGAGCGCGACGCTGCCGTTAAGGAGCGGGTGCGCCACGAGGAGACGGAAGCGGCAATGGAGGTGACCATCGCCGGTCTGCAGAGGCAGTTGCAGACAGTGCTGGACGAGCGTGATGCTGCCCAGGCGCGTCTCACTTCGCATGACGCCGTCCTCAGGGAGCGCACTGCAGAGTTGGAGGGCCTCTACGCGGTGATGCAGCGGCAGCGAACCGCGCGGAAGGAGGCGGCGAGCCAAACAGATGTTGAAGAAGGATATGATGTTGGTTCAGAGCCGCACCCTGCTTTGAAGACAGCCAACGCACTGTGTAACGTAGTATCTTCTTCCGAGCACCACTGTCAGTGCGTGGGCCTCACTGAAGAGGTGCTGCAGCTCCAGCGAGTCTGTGAGGAGAGCCAGCAGTATGTGGCGGATCTCTGTGCCGAGAAGGAGCGACTTACGTCTGAGTGTGAGCGAGCTCGTTGCGTTATTGGAGTGCTGCAGCGTAAGGTGGAGACGCTAGAGACTACTGTGGAGAGGCTTGAGTTGCGGCAGCTGGCCGTGCCTGATATTCCAGTGTGTGCGGGTGAGAAGGATATCGTCCTGCTGAACCTCAAGGAGGACTTGAATAAAACAAACAGTAGCCTGATCGAAGCAAAAACAGAGTCTACGATGCTAAAGCGCGAAATACGGGAGTTGCGAAGCTTGCTTGCCATTTATATGTCCAACGCGAGGAAGCCATGATGCAAGCACATGGGCTTGGCTGGGTTGACGTAGAAGAGTAATTTTTCTCTCTCTTCCTCGTTTCCCCCCGAACGAGCGAGCTCAGGTGTGGAGTGTGTTTGAACCTGGACATCTTGACCATTAAGGATTATCGATTCTACCTCCTTTTTCTTGTATTCCTCTGCACAGCTTTATTTTATGATATTCATTTGAGGCGGCGCGGGTGCCGCTTCTTTTGTGGCGACTTACAAAGCGCTTGTTTCGACATATCGATTTATCGTGTGCCTACACATATGTGTGTGTGGCCTAAGTTTTGTATTTCTGTATTGTATTTTTGAGTCTGTGTAATACGATGCTTTTCCTCATTATGGACGATTATTGCTGTTTCTGCCTGCTTTATTCTTCCTCCATGCTCGTTCTTATCTCTGTAGATTCTTTACTGGATCGCTGGTGTATTGCACGAACGTAAAACGTATTGAAGATCGGTATCTAAGTAGTATAGTGAGCGAAAAAAATAATAATAAAAAATCGAATATGTCACCACAGCTGATGGTTCATTTGATGGCTACATGGCTCACTTTCACCGTGTTGGTGCTCGTATGTGTGCTACAGCCATTAGCAGTATGTGCCTCGAGAGTGCCGCTTGCGGAGGGGATACCCAAAGACTCGTTAGCGCTCTTGGGGAATTTGCACTATGATGCTCTCTTTGGCAGACCGGGCGGGTACGGCGTGTGCAATCAAGGTCAGATATCTATGGTGACTCCTGGCTGTGATTCACCTCTAACGCTGATCAAATCCGTTATGGATGATATAAATAACTGCAGAGGTATGATTACATTGATTACCGGTAGTTTGTTTCGTCACGGCGCAGAATTCCTCACCTCACGTGAGATTGAATACATGATGAGGGATGTGTTAGAGGTGATCGCCCAAAACGGAACCTCAAACAACGCCGATAAAGACTATGACCTCGGCCATTCAACACAGCTCGCGTTGGGCGAAACAGACTTCATCCCAGCCAGTTCATTTACACCTGGCGGAAAACAGGCGCTGTACTTGCAGCTGCTCGGTATGATGCTGTCGTATGATCTTCTCTCGTCAGAAGAGTATAGCGCAATGACCTCTTGCGGCTATTACTACCGCGATCTGAGCGGTACCAAACTCCGGATAATTTCTTTGAACACCATGCTTTGGTCTACCGCACTGCGGCCACCTCTTGGTGTGGGTGACGTGGACCCCTGTGGGCAGTTTCCGTTTCTGCAAAACGCCATTGAGCAGGCTACACAGCGCGGTCGTAATGTAATTATTGTTGGTGACACACCTCCTGTTCTCAACGTGGCAGATGCTCTGCGCAAGAGGAACGTGCAAGAAGCCACTTATTTTTGGCGTGATGACTTCCGTGAGGCATACTTTCGCATCATCGCCACGTACCGCTTCAAAGTCGGGGCGCAGTTTTTCGGTCACACAAATGTGTTTGGCTTTGTCGCGTCACCTGAACTGGGCCCACCGATGTACATCATCCCCTCTATTTCCCCAGTGACAGGCAGCAATCCGTCGTACATGCGGGCCACATTAGATGGCACCACTGGTCGGGTGGTAGCACTGAGGCAACGCTACCTCGACGAAAATGGTACCTGGGTTGAAGGTGAAAGCCTGGAGGACGCTATTAATGTTTCACTTAGAGGCATGGGTGAGTACTTCCCAAAGGACTACTTATTGCTTGCAGAAAGCGAGGCGCGTTGGGAGAATATGGCGGCGATGCGTGTTGGTGGCCGTTTTTTGACGGAAAGGGAACCGTGCGATATTTGGTGTCGTCGTGTCATTGCATGCTCCTCTCTATACTATGAACGTGATGCGATTGATCGCTGTGCCTCAATTCAGTCACCATCGCAAAAACTCGGGCTTGTTTTGGCAATTGTTTTTACTTGTTTTGGTGTTATCTTGGTTTGTTCGGCATTTGCTTACGTGCTGATACACTTTAGTATTATATTCGACCCACCGGTCGTTCTGGGAACGGGAAAAGGACGGCGAAGATTGTTCT